ACAGTAACAGTAAAAATAACAGTAACAGTAACAAACAAGATAATCGTAAGACTCGTCCAGTCATTGTGATTAAACCGAAAGAGTCCAAACAACCTTGCGAAGATACTCGTAAGTTTTTAAAAACTCAGTTGGATCCAAAAACACACAAAATCAGTAATTTTAGGAATGGTAAAGATGGCTCCATTATTGTTGAGTGTGCAACAGGAGCAAACGTAAGTGATGTGAAAAATGGTATTGAAAGCAATCTGGGTGAAAAATATAGTGCTGTTGTTCCCACTTCGGTGCCAAGATTGAAAATAGTGGGCATGAGCGATCAGTTTTCCTCCGATGTCTTTATTGACTACTTAAAAAGTCAAAATGAAGACATCGGTATTAATGATGTAAAAGTAGTGAACATGTTTGAAAATCCACGCTTCACTTATAACAAGTTTAGTGTTGTAATTGAAGTCGATGTCGATACTTATAAATGTTTGTTATGTGCGAAAAAAGTAAATGTAGGGTTTGATCGGTGCTCGATAGTTCCCGCGATTAATGTGTTGAGATGCTTCAAATGTGGAGAATTTGGGCACAAGAGCATGGATTGCAAAAATTGTGATAGATGCTCTAGGTGCAGCCAACAACACAAAACGTCGGAGTGTACGTCAACTGTATTGAAATGTATTAATTGTTTGAAAATGAATAAAGAACGAAAAATGAACTTGGACGTCAACCATGCCGCATTTAGCTCGGAATGTTTGCTCTATAAAAGACTTTTCGATCAGAAGAAAAGCAGCTTGCGTTTCAATAAATAGCAGCCAAGTTCCAGGAATGTGAATCAATTCGATTTTTTATATTTGAATATTGCGGGGTTGTCAACAAACTACGTAGCATTACGTCAGATTGTTGAGGAAAAACGTCCACTTTTAGTTTTATTAGCTGAAACTCATATTGTAGAAACTGAAGCTTTTGACCAGTATAGTATTCCGGGATATATTGTTGCTGCTTGTTTATCACATTCTAGACACACTGGCGGTGTTGCTATTTATGTCAAAGAATCAATTCAATTCGACCTTCGAATCAACGAAGTTATCGATGGTAACTGGTTCTTGGGCATTACAGTTGTGCGTGGCATGAAGATGGGTAATTATGGTGTTTTGTATCATTCTCCCAGTTCTAGTGACCAGCGTTTTGTTGATGTTTTAGAGAACTGGCTAGAGACATTCCTTGATTCAAGTAAATTAAATATATTAGCTGGTGATTTTAATATTAATTGGCGTGACAACCATAATTCGAATCATTTGAAGCGTTTAGCTGATTTTTTCAATTTAAAACAAACGGTAGATGAGTATACGCGTATTTCCAGGCACAGTAGAACTTTAATTGACCACGTTTATTCCAATTTTGATTCCATTTGTTCAGTTCCGGATGCTGATTTGAAAATAACCGATCATGAGACCTTAGTGATTAATGTATTAGATAATATCAATAATAACGATGACTTAGTCAAATTGAAGTGCTGGAGGAAATATTCGAAACAGGCTGTTTCAAATCTTGTTGAGAGAAGCGTGGATTTTCCATTCGCGGCCGGTAATTTAGATGAATCTGCAGCTGTTCTAACTAACACTTTGAAAACGTGTACCAATCAATTAGTTGAGCAAAAGTTTGTTTCTTTGAAAAACTCGAACAGCTGGTACAATTTGGAACTTTTGCGTCTTAAACGTAAGAGGGACAAATGGTACAAAAAGTTTTGCAGATCAAATAATGATAATCATTGGAATAGGTACACAATCGCGCGTAATAAATATTCACAATCGATAAAACAAACTCGTTGTGAATATGTCCAGAGGAAGATTGATCAGCATCAAAACAACAGCAAAGAGTTATGGAAAATTTTGAAATCTTTATTAAAACCTAGTAATTGCAAACCGCGGTCCATAACTTTTAATGGCACATTAGAACAGTCAGAACCAGTAATTGCATCTATGTTTAATGATTATTTTGTCGAAAGTGTTTCATTGATTAATCAATCCATTGAATTGGTCGATGAACCTGACGAAATAAAACAGCCAGTGAATAGTAGTTGTAGATTTGAAGGTTTTCACCAAATTACTTTAGATGAACTTAGAGTTATTTGCTTTTCATTAGGAAAAACGGCTGGAGTAGATAATGTTAATTCTAGAGTTATTCAAGATTGCTTTCATGTCATTGGCCACATCTTGCTGGACCTTATTAATGAATCTTTGCAGACTGGACATGTGCCACAAATTTGGAAGGAATCCTTAGTGGTTCCTATTCAAAAAGTTGCTGGAACGATTAAAGCCGAAGAGTTTCGTCCCATCAACATGTTGCACACATTAGAGAAAATTTTAGAACTTGTTGTTAAAGGCCAGCTGTTGGAGTATTTGAATAGCAACTCTTTGTTGATACCAGAACAATCAGGATATCGGGAAGGTCATTCCTGTGAAACTGCGTTGAATTTGGTGTTAGCAAAGTGGAAAGACAACTTGGAGCGTAAAGATACGACTGTTGCTGTTTTTTTGGATCTGAAACGCGCTTTTGAAACAATTTCTAGGCCCTTACTGTTAAGTACAATCAAGCGCTTTGGAATTACGAGTACTGCATATAAATGGTTTGAAAGCTATTTATCTGACAGAACTCAACGGACTGTTTTTAATGATTCTGTTTCCAGTCCCGTGGGGAATAACCTTGGAGTGCCCCAGGGAAGTGTATTAGGGCCTCTTTTATTTATTATGTATATTAATGATTTGCGACGCGTTTTACGATTTTGCGACATTAATCTTTTTGCAGATGATACTGTGTTATTCATTGCAGCTAAGGATTTAGAAGTTGCCGTCTCACATTTGAATGAAGATTTGCGTTCTCTAAGTAGATGGTTGAAGTGTAAGCAGTTGAAATTAAATACAAGTAAAACTAAATTCATGGTAATTTCGCGGAACCGAGTAAATGATAATGTCTCCGTGGTAATTGATGATGAGGCTATTGATCGCGTTCGGGAGATTAAATATCTTGGCGTGATTATTGATGACAAACTTAAGTTCAACTCTCACATTGACAATGTCATCAAGAAAATTGCCAAGAATTATGGAATTCTATGTCGACTGAAAAACGATTCAACTATTGCCAGTAAAATACAGCTATACAAATCAATCATCTCTCCTCATCTAGACTTTTGCCCATCCATTTTATTTCTAGCCAATGAAACACAAATATCGAGATTACAGCGTTTGCAGAATAAAATAATGCGTTTGATTTTGCGATGTAATAGATTCACTTCCTCAACTTTGATGCTGGACGCTTTAAAATGGCTGTCAGTGAAGCAAAGAATAGTTTATTTGACTATGGTGTTCATTTTTAAAGTAGTTAATGGTTTGCTGCCTCGATATTTGTGTGATCGAATTGAAAGAGGAAGTGATTTTCATAGATATAATACTAGAAACGCGGATGAAATAAGAACACCACATTTCTTGACTTGCGCTTCACAGAATTCATTGTATTTTAAAGGAGTAAATGTTTTCAATTCGATGCCTAGACATATTAAACGTGCAACAACATTAGCAGAATTCAAGAGACATTGTATTACACACGTTAAAACTGTCTTTTGAACGGTTATCCAGTGATTTTTATTTTTTTTTTTTTTATGAATGGACGAAGTATGTATCTTGACGAAGTTATTTATAACTGATTATTTTGTATGGATAGCTGTCATAACGACTTTTTAATAATTATTGTAGCACTGCAAAAACTATTTTGTTCGCCACGATGGTGATGATGGATATTTTTTTTTATATTTGAATTAAAGTAGTAGTTAAAAAAAAAAAAGTAGTAGTCTACAAAGGTTTGAGCCTCGCGCGCGTATTACGGATATAGAGGACTGAATTTAACATTTGATAAAAAAAAATGCAACTTTGAAGCTTATTTGGAAGATACTTTGAGTTAGTATTAAGTTTTCTGGCTGAATGTCGGGGGTTCGTGAGCATTCCTGACATTGCTGAAAATTATAATAGCATCATTGCGGGGTTGCTAGTGTATAGGATGCTTTGTTGATTGTTCATTAACTCTTGATTGCTTGTAATACTTATGAATATTCTAGGTGGACAAAAAGGCGAACTAAGAGGTGGACGCCTAAGCTTTTTCACATTTATGTATATTGCTGTGAAGCAACTGTAAAGTCTAGAGGGAATTTATATCTGTAACTGTAACCAGCTCGTTTTTGTTTGCTAACCTGGTTAAAATGTTTATATTTAATTATCTTAAAGATAAATCGTCCAGCTCAAACCTTTGTAGGGGTAAGAGGTGGGACCATCATCATCATCATCATCAACTTAAAGAAATATTCCACTGGATATATGTTTCAAATAGTTTTCAGAAAGCTAATACCAATCTATTAAAGAAACTTTTATCTACATCGTTGCAGCTAAAGGAATAAGTTTGAAGAAGTTTGTACCTGAATTTCCACACTAACTCAAACACTTTAACTCTCAAACCCCCAACTTCTGATACTGGAAAATTCTAAAACTACCCTAGCTCCTTCATTTCTGAACAGATTTTTCATCTATCCATCTGAAAACAACTGCAAACTCCTCAAGTGGTGATTTTTAAAGATTTTGCCAGAAAACATTCTGAATTAAAATGGGGTTGTTTTTTTTACCGTTCGGGGTATGACAGTTAAAGTCTTCCTAACCAGCAGAAGCAAGAAGAGACTGGAATGCGTCGTCTCCGTAATCCATTCGCTAATTCAATCCCAGGAAAAGTCGCGGACGGTCGTGAAAATTTGCATTCTTCATTTCACATTGGCGCTGTATCCTTTTTCCCTTACCCGATTCCTCTGCTTAGTTTGCTCTGAATGCACACTAGTGCCGTACCCCTGCCCCCGTTCCCCTGCATTGCACAATCTTTCTTTCCATTCTTCAGAGGCAGCAGCACCACCGTCGTTCGTTTGAAAGGGTACCGAGTGTTCGCGCTTTTTCACTTAATTAGAAAATTTGAATTCAAATATTTACCTAAGTTCTCATTAGAACCGTGGTGTCGCACCGTCGTTGCGCCCATCCCCGCCGTCGTCGTCGTCGTCGTCATCGAGGACGTCTTCCAGGGCATCTTGACGACTGCATTTCCACTGCTCGCCGGTGGCAGATGCCAGTGGTACGACGACGACATTTCTGTGCGCGGGTTTTCAGGTTTTTGTGTTTGTTTAGTTTTGTGTGTTTGATGATGATCATCATCGGGTTCGGTCGAAGGAACGCGACCAAGAAAAGAGAGAAAGAGAAAGAAAGTTCCAGAATAGTTTGTTTTGATTTCAATTTTTTTTTTCTTGGATTTTATGAATTTTTTTTTTCAAATTCTGCGTGAAGTTCGTCCTGGAAAGAATCTGTATTTAAATGCCCTTAGGAGAAAACATGGAATGCAATATAGTTCATACTGTTGGTGCAGATTCAATATCAAAGAAATGAATGTGTATATTTACAGACGGGATAGAGGAAATATGTTCTTAATTTAAAGCATGTGCCGGCGAAGCAGAAAAATACCGCAAACTTTGGGAATCACGGAAAATCATAAACGAAAAACTCACAATTCAAGCGGAGGTGAAACTTTTTCACCCACGAAAGGAAAACTAGGATAGAATCATCACTTACCTGAAAAAAAAAAGAAAAAGAAAAGAAAAGTAGAAATGTAGGAAATTCAGAAAACAAGAGAATAGAGATAAAGAGAAGCGTGGAGCAAAAAAAAAGGGAGCACAAAATTACTTTTCCTTATGTAAACAACCACAGTTTGTATCTACGATCAAAGCTCGGCTCGGGCATTAGAAAAAGAAACACAGGAAAAATATAGTATGCCAATTTCGTTCGCGCCAGCTATAAGCGCCCAACCCACACACCCTCACAAATGAAAGCGTTCCGAGGGGTCAGATTCGAACTAATGGCGCTTTGGTAGATAGATACCTACCATCAGCAACAGCAACTCGCAAAAGAGCGCGTTGAAGAGCAGGCAGGGCAGGCCGAGTTGAGCCTATCAAATGTGCGCTTTTAACGATGAGACGAAAAATGGGAAAAGCTGATGTTATCTTTAATGAACATCAGAAAATCAAAAAAAAAAAAAAATACGGACGGTCTAGCAGCTAGCAGGAAAGGTACAAGCTTTGGCGAAAGCTGCGGCGAGCAGCAGTCAAGTGAGCAGTAATGCTAGCCCGTGTGGAGGTGGGGGTTGTAACGGATAGCTGAGTGACTGACTGACTGCCTATGGTGCCTATGGTGTCTGGTCTGGTCTGGTCTGGTCGGGAATGACCCGGCTGCTATGCAGAGTATGGCATTGTCGTAGGCATGGGATTACTGCTCTCTTTCTCTTTGTCCATTTTTTTTCGAGGTACATAAGTTTGGTCACTGTGGGCAGATTTACATGTTCATTGGTAACAGTGCACGAGAATGTTGGGCGTGATTGTGGTTTGTCTTGCTCAAATTGGCTCTTGAATTCTTCAAACTAACGATCAGTGATATGAAATGCTGCAGGTTTCATATCAATAACATACAGGGTGTCGACTACCTGGAAAAACCTGGGAATATCAGGGAATAATTTTTTGGACCTGGAAAATCAGGGAATCTCAGAGAATTTTATTCAAATTCAGGGAAATATTTCTTAATCACAGAAATGTATTAATGAGTATGACTAACTTTGACAGTATCAAACAACTTAATTACTCGGTTTTGTTTGAGGATGGTTGTTCATTTCATATTTTAAATAGAGCTCCGAATTTGTGGTTGCTTAATGTTTGATGTTGCATTTTTGCAAGTTGAGCAAGAATTGCTCAAATGAATGGATTGTTTGATGATTTTCCGCCTAATATAAATTCAGCTCCCACTGGCACACATTGCTGAGTTGAACTGAGATAGGGTTAACTACCCCATTTCCGGCCTATTAAGTACAACCCGCACTTAGTCTTTATTAATCTAGCGCAGTTTAGCACCAAACGGAATGTTATTATTACTGGTGGTCTCCAAATTTATTTACCTTCCCGTACCTACCATAACATTCAATAAAGAGGAACCAATCGTTGAGATATTGTCAAAAGTCTAACACTACTTCTTGACGCCAAACTCGACCTACCGATTCTAAACTCGGCCTAACGCATTGAAATGCCATTGAAGTGCCAATGAATTCACTTCGGCCTATCGGATGAAGATAAAAATTGATTCGTTCGAAGCCCTTCTTTTGTTTTTGGGAATAATGGGTGCAAACCTTCACATCACGCGTTCTCATTGACTTCGTTCGGTAGCCTTTTAACTAAAGTATCGTAACAAATGCACAATTGACTTGTTAACTCTGAAATCATAGATTTATTTGAAGCTTTCCGCTCGATAGGCCCAAAATGGGCGATAAGGCCGAAGTAGTTCTCTACCCTACTGATGGTTGATAAAAATCTTTCCATATACACTAGACGTTAGTGTGCGTCACTTCGTAGATGTTACACCTACTTGCGTCTGACGAAGATCCTTTGGGCGCTTTGGAGAGCTTTTGCTTAAATTCAAGAATGGTAAAGAGTTCAGAGAAGAGGATGATTTTTTTTCTGAACACTTGTAGTTCTTGTTCCTTATTGTGTTTTTTATAGCCTGATTTGCTCAGAGAATCAACTAAATGAAAATTTAGGATAATGGTCTTGCTTGGGTGGATTTGCTTTGATTGCTTGGAGTAGCACTTTTATGATTCAAAGAAACGGATTGCCTCGAAAGCATTTTTTTTTCTCTGTTCGGGACCAAACACTACTGCGACCAGTAAATTGATCGATTGTAGAATATCCCGTGTCCTTAGTTTAGTGCATGTCGTATCCATCACTATTGAGAAATGATGAAGTATTCGATTTTTTTACAGTTGCCACTCTTGCATTTATCGCATGGATCCGACTCTAATTGAAAGGTCCCGCTATTTATACCCTTCGGAGTGTTGAAACACCCTCCAAAGGCGCGCCCCTTTGTCAGTCAAAATTGGATTCCTTAGCAACAAAATTAAGGTATGACACCGATAATGACCATGCATCAGAACCCTAGTCTTAACCGCTTCAAACTAGGGAACAACGTAGAGAAGATTAGGAATCACATAGATGAAGACAACTAACTCATCTTTTTCCTTGTTTCAAGATCATCCTCGGTAGACAAAGCCGAGTCTTGTCACTATCAACAAGACATAAAAAGTAACAAGGACTAAGATATGTTCCTTGGATTACTGAAAAATCCTGTTCCCCTAGTTTGAAGTAGTCAGGACTAGAAATCGGTGGTAGATATCTTACATCCCGTAACGTACCACGAAAAGGTGATCTACCCACGTTACGGGGCATAGAGTGGCTCTATTTAGTATTCGAGGTCTTCATTTTAAATCTGGTTAGCTAGGAAAATTAAATTTTAGCTTGTTTCATGTGTAAGGTGTAGGGGAACTGGGTGAATTTCAGTCCCTAGCGTTGAGTTCGGAAACAGTCAGAAAAAAGCTTCAAAACAGGGTTGAAAAAGTTCACGATATTTCACGAAGTTCAAAAAGGGAAAAGTTTGCGAGTCATAGTGAGTTTTGGTGAATATTTTCAACACTACTTCCGTCGAATGGCTTTCTTGCATGAATCAGCTGTCAAACTGAAGACTATCTCCAGATGTAATGCACGCACGGTAAGGCACGTAAAGACCGCTACCCAGCGCTTGACGGAACTTCGTCCGACCTTAACGAAGTAGGGGCCGAAATAATGGATTCCTACAAACGTGAACGGTCGTAGGAACGGCGTTATTCGGATCCGAGGCAATTGACCCATCTTTGGTGCTAAGGGTTTTGCTTTATACACGCGGCACCACTGGCACCGAAGTGCTGCAGAGCGTACTTGAGTTCTGAGTTTTGCAATATAATGTCTCTGACGCACTTCATTGACAATCGTTTCATTGTTAGCATGACGAAATTTACGGTGATACCAATCCAGTAATAGGTTGGTAATCCGATGACCCCGCGGTAGAATGCTAGGGTATCTGGTATCGTACGGGACGTAGTCTGCTGCTGCGATACGGCTATCCACGCGTAGAACACCGTGCTCGTCGAGTAGAGGAGGTAGCTTCGCTATAGAACTGCTTCTATCCAACGCCTTCTGCTGTTCTCGCTTCAATTGACTGTTATGTTTTAGAGTAGCTACCTCGTCCAGATAGCACTCCGATTGTGCAAGTCGCCACAGACTCCGTTCTGCTTTCTGCAATTCTTCACTGCTTAACTCTTCTGCACCTTCGCACTGTGTATTTCCAGCTCGTCGCAAACTTTTCTCTTGGAAGCGGTAAACGTATGCTACGCTTCGCAACAGACACTCGTAGAGGGTGTCCACGATGAAATTGCCACACACAAAATTGATTCGCAAAATTCGAGTTTTCATCTGATTGCCATCAAATTTTCAGGGAAAATCTTCCCCCTCAATGATCGGAACGGTTAGAAAGTGACTGCATATGTATGCCGATCGTAATTCTTCCGTTGTTTCTTCCGGTACCTCGAATCCGCTGCTCGGCCACTCACTCTTCCTTTCGTAGAGAAAAGCAGGACGTCGCATCCACCTACTATCTGGCGTACAGTTCGGGCCTTTTCCCCATTTTGTAGCTTCATCTGCAACATTGATTTTCGTTCCCAGCCATCGCCATTCCTCAATCCTTGAATGGTTTAAAATTTCGTTGACTCGGAAGGCAACATATGGCCGATACCGACGAGTGTCCGATCTGATCCACGAGATAATCGTACTAGAGTCAAAATGTGTGCGCTTGACTTGGATTGAATGACCTTCTTCAATTGTTTTTCGAAGACGCGCCCCGAGAACCGCCGCCTGCAATTCCAAGCACGGGATTGATAGTAACTGTAGTGGAGCAACTTTAGTTTTTGAAGCAACTAGAGCACATCGTATCTGTCCACGATCCTGAACACGGAAGTAAGCCACGGCCGAGTATGCTTGTGCACTGCCATCGACGAATATGTGCAATTCCAGGGAATCATAACAGTTAACATCGTACCCCGAGAAGTAGCAACGAGGAATTCTCACGTTGTTCAATTCTTGCAGGGCCTGAAGCCAGAGTTTCCATGCCTTGAAAATATTATCCGGTATTTGCTCATCCCAATCCACGTTAGCTCTCCAGACTTCTTGTATGAGGATCTTCCCTTGAATAAT